CATTTTCGGTTGTCCGACGCTCCAAGACGGCTTAAGAAGCTTCCCAAACCGCCCCAAGGCAGCCCAAGACGCCTCCAAGAGGGCCCCAAGATGGCCCAAGAGGGCTCCAAAAGCCCAAGAAGCCCGTGCGTGTATCCAGCCGCGTCTCTCGCTTGTGGCAATCTGCGTCCGAAGGGGATGGAGTACACAAGAGGCTTCATGCGAGGCGCATGCACGCCAACCGCTGAAAGTATGTATCTTTGGATGCCCAGATCCTGATCTGCTGTCGGCGCCCTCCTATGTCAAGGGTCGAGCGGGTGTCCCTCTTCCCTCCTCTTCCGGGGGCGGGCGGAAGCCCAATCTGCTTCCAACGTTTTCCTGTTCCATGTTGCTTCCCACCTCCTCCGACTGGCGAGCAGTGTGGCCAGCGTGTGCAGGGCTGGATGCACAGGTCAGTCGCACATTTTTTCACTGCACTCGGCCCAAACATGTGTTTGTTTCTCTCCATGGTGGTTGCACGCCCGTGGCCGGGAGCGCCAGCTCTCTGCATTTATACAGGAGGCGTGGCCTCCGCATGTTGCGGTTTTGATCCCACTCTTGTGTTCCTCCAGCTTTCTGGCATTCTCGAACATATATCGCATCAGTGATGTCAACCCTTGCGCCTGAAATGGATGGTATGGTTCATCCTTCCCACTGGCGCCAATCGAGAACACGCGTCCGGTTCACGGGCGCAGTCGAAGCGTCGAGAAAAGCCAAACAGGTGTCGTGCAGGCGGCCGAAGGAAGCAGGTGGCGACGGGGGGACGGCGCTGCCGTTTGAGTGGGTTTAGCCCGTGATTTGAGACACGACACGCCCTCGACATTGAGCCCCCCACGCCCACACACACATCCCAGGAGGTTCCAGGAAGGGGGGGGAAGAAGAGGGGGGAGGAGGAGGAGGAGGAGGAGGAGGAGGAGGAGGAGGAGGAGGAGGAGGAGGAGGAGGAGAGGAGGAGGCTCGCTGACGACGGCCCAACCAAGACTGCAGACGCAGGTTTGTCAGCCTCGCCATCCCATGGCGCAGGGGCCTCCCTCCGCAAGCTCCTCCTCCTCCTCCTCCTCCTCCTCCTCCTCCTCCTCCTCCTCCTCCTCCTCCTCTCCTCTCCTCCCTCCTCCCTCCTCCCTCCTCCCTCCTCCCTCCTCCCTCCTCCACCTCCTCCTCCCCTCCTCCCTCCTCCTCCTCCCTCCTCATCCTCCTCCTCCTCCTCCTCCTCCTCCTCCTCCTCCTCCTCCTCCTCCTCCTCCTCCCCCTCCCGCCCCAGGCGCAGGGCGGCGCGGCCTCCAAGAAGCCGGGCATCCCCGGGCTCACTGCCCCGAGGCCCATGCCGCCGGCTTTTTGCCGCCGCCGTCGTTGCCGTCGGCCTCCTCGTCATCGGCCTCCTCGTCATCGCTGCTGTCGGTGTCGTTGGCGCCGCTGGCGCCCGTGTCTCCTTGTCGTCGTCGGTGCCGGCGCTGGCGCCGCCGCCGACGTGATTGGTCTTCGTCGTCCGCCGCCCTCGCCGCCACGGAGCCGTCGCCGCAGGTGCCGGCGTTGGCGCCGCCGCTTCGCGCCGCCGTTTCGCGCCGCCGCCGCCGCCGCCGCCGTCGTCGTCGTCGTCGTCGTCGTCGTCGTCGTCGTCGTCGTCGTCGTCGTCGTCGTCGTCGTTGGGAGGGGTCGGCGGCGCGAGCTGGGGGCAGTACGGGGCAGGGGGCAGGCATTCCTACGAAGAGCTCCGCTGCCGTCTTGGAGGGCCTTGGGCGCGCAGTCTTTCGAGGGCCACGCGGCGCGTTGCCACAGGGCCAGGCGCCCCGAGGCATCCGGCGTCTTGGGGGAATCCAGCGGGACGTTCCTCGCAGCGTTCGGCCTCGTGGCTCATGTGGGGCTCTCGCCGGGCCCTGGGCGTCGCCAAAACACGCCTCAGAAGGAAAAGCCGGGCCCGGGGGTCTGGAGTCTGGCTGGGGTCTGGACGCCCAACGGCCCCGGACCCCCGACGTCGTGATTTTTTCGCAACGTCGACCCCCAGAGGTCTGGACCCATTCCCTGGGTGCGATCGGCACCGTTGGGGCCTGGTGGGCCCGACACTGTCCTCGTCGGGCCTCCTCAGGGCGCGGGAGGACTCTATCGAGGGCCACGCGCGCTCCCCGGGGTGCCCGGCCAAGATGTCCCCCAGGGCCCCCAGGGTGCCGGTTGCAAACCACACCCTTTGCAAACCACACCCTTGGAGTCGCCGACAGAGACGCGCCGCCACCACGGCCGGCAGCATGACCATTCCGTCCTTTCGGGGGGCTCCAGAGACGGGGGTCGCTGCAAACGGGGTCAGCCAGAGCGCCGGATCTTGCAGGATCCTGCAGCGCTGGGGGCGCACTGACCGGGGCTTTTGTGCAGGATCCTGCAAGATCTTGCAGGATCTTGTAAGGCCCGACTGACCGGGGTTTGGATTGACACGGGTCAGTGGATCCCCGATCCTTCCGGTTTCAAATCGTGGGAGCCTCGTGTGCCCTCG